ACTTCTCTTTAAACTCTGTTCTAGTTGTAGCCTTCACAGCCTCCTGCAGCAAGGAGTTCCACAGGTTGACTATTTGCTTTGTGAAGAAGAACTTTCTGTTATTAGTTTGAAGCCTGCTACCCATTAATTTCATTTGGTGTCCTCTAGTCCTTCTATGGGAACTAATGAAGAACTTTTCTTTATGCACCCTCTCCACACCACTCATGCTTTTATAGACCTCTATCATATCCCCCCTCAATCTCCTCTTTTCTAAGCTGAAAAGTCTCAGTCTCTTTAGCCTCTCTTCATATGGGACCTGTTCCAAACCCCTGATCATGTTAGTTGCCCTCCCCTTTCCTACCTTCTCTCTTCCCCTCTCCCACCTCCTTTTCCCAGTCTCCCCGAGTTTTGTTCAATAAAGAGAGTTTCTATTTTTGAACACATGTGTCCTTTATTTTGTACATCAGGAAGTGGGGCTAGGGAGGGGTAAGTGGAAGGAGGTGAGGGAGGATGGGGCACGAGCCCCCATTGGGGAAGACTGGGCTGGCTTTGCGGGCTCCTCAGGGTGGAAGCTCTCCTGAAACCCCTTAATTGAACCCCCCCGCAGCTGGGCTGATGGCCGAGTGCTATGATGTGCTGAGTGTGGGCACTCAGGGCACTCCAAGCCAGGACTGCTTTGCTGTCCCTCATCGAGTTAGACAAGCGAGCGGGGAACCCTGAGAACTGTCTGTCCGGGGTGGGGGTCGGGTCCCTTTAACCACAGCCCTCGGCTAGCCCTCGGCAGCAGCTTCACGCTCTAAGTCCTAATCTGATGCCCTGCCGGCACTGCTTCTGGCCATCCTTAACCTCGGTTCAGGGTCCACTCAATGTGGACATGCTAGTTTGAATTAGCAAAACGCTAATTCGAACTAGTTCGAATTAGCTTAGTTTGAATTAACTAATTCGAATTAAGTTAGTTCGAATTAGTGCTGAGTGTAGACATACCCTGAGACTTGAAACAGATACCATTCTCTTTTTGTTGTGTACTGTCACTCTTCACTGTACTCTTTAATAATGTGTATCTTAAGAAAAAGCCAAGCTATTTATTTGCCCAGAGTAGTATAGTTTGTTTTGAAGTAACTGTACTGTTACTCCTTTTTTAACCTCTTTTTGCTCATGTGTAACACCAGCGTGCGGGATTGGACTTTAGGGGCTAAAGCTATGAGCTGCTACCCTATGAACTAAAAGCAAACCGCCTATTAGGTAAGGCTGTGAAGTAGACTTCACTCTCCCTCTGTGTTCTCAGTGCCTTGGAGTTACACATGGTTGTGCAATTCCTTCAACATAACTTTTATTAATGTGACTATCCTCTCTGATAACATTTCCTCTATTTCTGCTCCATACAGAATAAACTACCTAATAAAGGCCTAGCCTGTTATCAGGCCCCAACTCTCTCTTGCCTACCAGCTCATGATTCAACTGCTACTTCATCTTCATCATCTATTCCCTTGGCTTATCCTGCTGTTCAGTCTAGCAAGGTATTCTATTAACAGATTTTCATGTAAAATCCATACTTGCTCTAAAAACTTCAGAAGGATTGGCTTAGATTGAAACTCTGGGCTTTTGCATGGAGAATCAGTGTTTCGTATTAGACTCAGAGGTTTAGACTGCTCACATTTTTTGTGCATTTCTGCATGCTTGTAAAAGGAAAATATCATAACCAAATGTAATTCAGATTAAAAGTGAAGTAGACCATATGTTTTTGAGAATCTTAATCTTACATTCTTGCTACTTTTAAATATTTTGATTCTTTTTAATCATTCTGCAAACTCCCTTTTGAGAATTAAATGCTTGAGCACGCATTTCTTCATAAAAGCAGTTGCGATGCATAAGAGATAGGCATAAAGTGACTGAAGTTGATTGGCTAAATATTAGAATCCAGCACCCATCTTATTATTGACACTGGTTAGAAGTTTGGCAGCCATAGCAGAAGGTGAGTTACTATTAATAAACTAATGGTAAGTAACAAGCTTTGATTTGTATAAGCTTAAAAAGTTTCAGCTTCCTTCTCCCCTCAGTGCAGATTTTAATTGGGGGTATTTTTAGACTTCTCCTTTTTAGACCAGATCTTTGGGAAGGGCCTGCATGTCCTTTCTTTCCTCTAGTGGTTATATCAGCAGCATAGGGTGTCTTTTAAGCCTTAGAATAAGTAAGCATATTAAACAGTTTTGGAGTACAAATAGGTGGAGAAGCCACAAAACTCTTAAAAATGTTAGAGTAGCTGTGAGAATTAATATTGAGGGGGCTGAACCCAGTAGGTTCTGCCACAAAATTTAAGAAGAGGGAGTTAGGGAAGGATTGTTTATCCAAACCTGAAATGATTTGCCATGTGTTTGAAGGATATGAGATAATCTGCTCAAACCTTTCAACCCCTCTTTTCTCAACTTAAATATCAACGCACAATGAAACCAATTATTCGTTTGAAAAAAAAAGTCACACTCTCTTGAACGTGGTATAAATCAAGACCAGATAATTAATGGCTTAATATTTCAATCAAATTCCTGGTGAACTTTCACCAGTTAGAAGTTTGGTTGGCAGCCATAACAGAAGGTAAGTGACTGAACAAACTAACCTGTGCTTGCAGTCTGACTTTTGTTAGTGCTTGATAAATATTTGACATGAAATTTGATAGGAGTAAAAGATAAATAGACTAACTTAAATATGTAAGCACATTGTGCTGCTCAGTGCTCCGTTCCATAGGAGCTAATGGAGACCAGCATGGGGGGGGGGGAACCACTTCCACTTTCTCTTTGTCTTCCTCGGCAGCCTTTTTAGGTATGTGTTTGGTGCCTTTCCTACAAGACTGGAGAGCAAACCTGCCCTGCACTCTTCCAGCAGCAGCTGTTCCTGTCCTGTGAGGCTAGGCCCAGCTTCCTGTTCTAGTGTTGTGAGATTGCAAATGGGGTTACATGTACAACGTGTTTTCACAGTGGTATTCATTCAAATTTGGCCTGGTCTCGCCCCTTCATGATGGAGGGAAAACCAGGTAAACCTGAATGGGACTATGACCCCATGTGCCAGGTAGTAAGTCCTGGACCAGGGAGCAGAGCCCAACCCTGCAGAAAAGAGCCACTGCTACTGGGTGAGGGTGGGGCAGTTTTGTTCTTCAGCCCACAGCCAGTGACTCAACATGTCTCCCTTCCTCAGTTGCAAATCCTTGCCCTGTCACCTGGGCTGGAGTGGCCCCCTTAATTGGTTAACCAGTTAAATGTGAAGTAAACTTCATGTTTAACCATTTCACCAGTTAAACAGGTTTTTAAATCTCTAGCATTCAATTAACATGTGCCATGTTTGGTCTTTTTTAGATGGCAAACTTTTCAGGGCAGGGAAGTAACTTACTCTGACAAAGCACTGTCTAAATGTCTGACCTTATGTAAACAAATGTTAATTTCAGGTACAAAATTCCCATTTTAAAGTACTTTGGATGCTAGATAACAAAGTATTTGAACTTGCCTGATACAACTTTTGGTATTAAGTGGAGTGCCCCAAGGATTGGTTTTAGGGCCGGTTTTATTCAACATCTTTATTAATGACCTGGATGAGGGGATGGATTGCACCCTCAGCAAGTTTGCAGTTGACACTAAGTTAGGGGAGAGGAAATATGTTGGAGGGCAGGGATAGGGTCCAAAGTGCCTCAGACAAATTGGAGGACTGCGTCAAAAGAAATCAGATGAGGTTCAACAAGGACAAGGACAGAGTCTAAGCATTGTTACAGGCTGGGGACCCACTGGCTAAGTAGCAGTTCAGCAGAAAAGGACCTTGGGATTTACAATGGATGAGAAGCTGGATATGAGTCAGTGTGCCCTTGTAGTCAAGAAGGCTAATGGCATATTAGGGTGCATTAGTAGCAGCATTGCAAGCAGATCTAGGGAAGTGATTATTTTCCTTTATTCAGAACTTGTGAGGCCACATCTGGAGTATTGCGCCCAGTTCTGGGACCCACACTACAGAAAGGATGTAGATGCATTGGAGAGGGTCCAGTGGAGGGCAACCAAAATGATTAGGGGGCTGGAGCACATGCCTTATGAGGAGAGGCTGAGGGGTTTGGGCTTCATTAGTTCACGGAAGAAAAGTGAGGGGGGATTTGATAGCAGCCTTCGACTTCCTGAAGGGAGGATGGAGAGAGTCTGTTCACAGTAGTGACAGATAGCAGATCAAGGAACAAAGGTCTCAAGTTACAGTGGAGGAGGGCTAAGTTGGATATTAAGAAAACTATTTCCCTAGGAGGGTGGTGAAGCCCTGGAATGGGTTCCAAGGGAGGTGGTGGAATCTCCATCCCTAAAGATTTTTAAGTCCTGGCTTGATAAAGCCCGGACTGGGATGATTTAGTTGGGGTTGGTCCTGCTTAGAGCAGGGGGTTGGACTCGATGACCTCCTGAAGTCTCTTCCAGCCCTAGGATTCTGTGAACTATACTCCACAAGTTTCTTGTATCAGTGTTATGTTAAGACTGGATTTAAAGGGCTCAAGATTTGCACTGCTGAGTAGCAGTACTGATACCAATGCGGGCACCCTCAGGCTGTGTCTACACTGGGCCAACGCAGCCACTTTTCCGGGATAAGCTGCGAGCTGTCTACACTGGCCGCTTGCTTTTTCGGAAAAGCAATGATGATGTAATGTAAAATCGTCATTGTTTTTCTGGAAAAACTATGCTGCTCCTGTTCGGGCAAAAGTCCTTTTCTGGAAAAACTGTTCCGGAAAAGGGCCAGTGTAGATAGCACAAGTAATCTTTTCCGCAAAAAAGCCCCGATCGCAAAAATGATGATCGGGGCTTTTTTGCAGAAAAGCACGTCTACATTGGCATGGACGCTTTTCCAGAAAAAGTGCTTTTCTGGAAAAGCATCCTGCCAATGTAGACGCGCTTTTCCGGAAATACTTATAACGGAAAAACTGTTCCGTTTTAAGCATTTCCGGAAAAGGGTGCCAGTGTAGACGTAGCCTCAATGTATGATTTAGGAGGTCCTTACTAGACCTAGTTCATTTCTGATGTAGATCAAGATGATCCAAAGTCTAGAATGACCTTTAGAAAACCATGTTTAGCTAGATAACCATGTTTATGCTACCTAAACGCTAAGGCTACGTCTGCACTGCACAGTTATTTTGCAATAAGCTATTCTGGAAGAGTTATTCCAAAATAGCTTATTTTGAAATAGCACATTTACACTGCAGGGAAGCCTCAAAATTAGTCCGAGGCAGACTTTCCATAGTATAGATCTTGATTTAGAGCCTCAAGAGGAATAACTTAGAATGGCCCTTATGAGGGGCTATTTTGAAATAGCAGAAGTGGAGTATCTACAGACACCTTATTTTGAAAAGGCTATTTCGGAATAGGCATTATTCCTCATAGAATGAGGTTTGCAGAAGTCAGAATAAGCCATCCATTATTTTGAAATTATTTCAAAATAACATAATTTCTGTGTAAATGCTCGCATAGTTATTTCGGAATAACGACCATTATTCTGAAATTACTTTGCTGCGTAGACACACCCTAAAAGTCCTACTTACTAGAAACAATTTGAAATCAGTTGTTAGCTACAATATCTCAGATTAACTACTGATACTTGAGTCATATGACTAGGAATTACCAGCTGAAAATTAGGGTTGGTTGTTTCCTACTCAGATAAATTCATTACTTAGGTATTGTTTATTCCAGGGGCATCAGGCAAAATAAATTTAAAGACGAAACAAGTACTTAAAAGCAGGACATTTGGTAAGGAGAGGAGACAAAGGAATTCTAAGAAGGAAGAATAAAGACTGTGTGTACTTTGGGGCGATTTTAACATTCTTCTAGCACAACCTTTTTTTATAAAGTACTCCCTTTAAAAAAAAATTGTAAGTACCCCCAGTACCTACAGTTTTCAGGCACACACAAATTTTGTCAACTATTTCAACACATTTGTTTAAACAACTTAATCATAGCCGGGCAGGCAATGAAATTTTTGGGTGTAAAAAGTACAAAAATAATAAAGTGCTGTAAAACTTAAAACAAAAATTCAGTTTTCTCCAAGTTTTAGTTGTGTTGATATACCTCCCAGACTTCTCTCAAGTACCCCTAAGAGTACTCGTACCACTGGTTGAGAAACTGTTCTCGCATATCTTCTTTCTGATTGTTGTAGCAATATAAATAATATTTATAAAATTATGAAACCCAGTCTTCTCTCCCTTAGCTAATGAATAAATATTGTAGCAGTTTACCAACCAGATAAACCTGCTTTCAGGCTGTGGCAACATGTCATTAGCAATTCTGTTCAACAATCCTCATAGTTTTTTTTTTTACAGAAACTGATTTTTGTATTCACTTTAAGGTATTTGCTTAGTATCACCTTATCTATTGCCCTATAAACAATGTAAGGGAACCTTTTTGGGAAACCTGGGTACCCAACACCATTGCAGAAGAGGCAGGGCTAAATTTAAAGCAGGCAATCCAGGTGTGATGTGCCAGGCTCAAGGAGCTATTTGTTGCTGGCAACAAAAGGTAAA